CCCCAAAACCCCAAAACCCCAAAACCCCAAAACCCCTTTTATAAGATAATTTATTGGGCAATTACAATTCTCCAAAACTGAGGTCCATTGCAACTAGTTTTGAAAGTTCTACGCTGATCTTTGCACCAACTGTGGCATTGTTCTTGATCAATTCGACGTTAGACTTTGAACTGAATCCTTCTGAAAGTTCGTTGACTCTTTTTAAAAGGAAAGGTGTGATTTCAGCACCAGCAATTTTCTGTTCATCTGCCTCTTTTAAAGCCTGATCTATGGCTGATTTAATTTTATCAACATGCTCTGTGTCTTCTTCAGGAATTGGAACCGTTACCAACATTCCATTGATCAGTTTTAAATCAGTTGAGGATTTGATCAATTCAGCACATTCTTTTGCAGTATCTAACCTGATAGGAGCCTTGATTTTTGAAGATGAGAAGAAGAAATCAGGTACATAATCAGTGTCAAATCCTACAACGGGAACTCCAAATGTCTCTAAAAGCTCTAATGTCTTTGGAACATCAAGAATGCTCTTGATTCCTGCAGAGACTACAGTTACTGGAGTTCTGGAAAGCTCTGTTAGATCTGCTGAGATATCAAAAGTTTCTTCTGCTCCTCTATGAACACCACCAATTCCACCTGTTACAAAGATCTTAATTCCTGCAAGAAAAGCGATGTACATAGTAGCAGCTACAGTAGTGGATCCATGCCCCTTCTTTGCTACAATGTACCCTAAATCTCTTCTTGAACATTTTCTGCATTTTTGCTTGTTTTTGGCCAAGAACTCAATCTGCTCCTCTGTGATGCCAACATGAATGACGCCATCTATAATACCGATAGTGGCAGGGATTGCTCCTTGCTCAATAATGTTCTTCTCTACAGCAAGAGCAGTTGTCACATTCATTGGGTATTCCATTCCATGGGTGATTATAGTAGACTCTAGTGCTACAACAGGCTTGTTCTCCCTGATGGCAGCCTGCACATTGTCATGCACCTTGAACACAGTTGGATTAATCGGGATGGGAGAGAAAGTAAAGTGAGATTTCAAGTTTTGGATCCTCTTTAAAGCTTGCATTTTTCAATATTTTTTCTAAAGCCAGGGGTTTTGGGGTTTTGGGGTTTTGGGGTTTTGGGG